AATCTTTTGATGGAAGAAGAGTTGACTTAAACTCTTTGTTAGATCCACAATTGGCTCAAAAGAGGATGGGACAGGTTATTCCCTATTTTCAGGAACCGTTGATAGAATGTCAAATTTCTGTGAAACGACATTAGTTGGAGGAAAAATAAGGTTATCAGTAGATAGAGCATTCAAAAATGATATAAGAAAACTAATTAAGCATCGTTTATATTTTTTGTTTCAAACTAAAAAAAAGACCGAAAGAAAAGCATCCAATCTGGAACCATCATAAAAATGCACAAAACAAGTGAAAACAGTAGTTTATTTTTAGCATTTTTCGTCAACGGTAAAAGATAGAAACCTGATTTTAGCAGCATAAGTAGAGCATGACTAATAGATATTTTGGTATTAATTTCGAGCAACTTGGTTGAACAGGAACTGAGAAATAAACAAGGCCATTTTTGACGGTCAAACGGTACAATAGACACTAGAATGACTCATATATAGAATAAAAAATTATTAAATGTGACTTGTTCTAATTGTATATATGTTGCCAATGTTGAAAATATTCATACCCTAGTGAATGTACTTATTCAGAAAGTACGACTAGCCAGCATGAGTACTCAGATTACTCGAGCAAGTACTCTCAAAAGTTCATGAGTATGTAAAATGACCGAGTACTCACATGCGTACTCAGACGAATTTTTCATTATACATCTACTCATAGGCAAGACCCTGGGTACTCATTGTAGTACTCGTTGTCTTTTGTTTTTGAAAAGACTCAATATACAGAATGAAATGTGTTAGGACGAAAAAGATATCGTGCACTGACTTTCTATGGACGATAAGTTCACAATTTCAACAAGATAATTTCCTTCTGTGACTGTAGCGTTGAAGAGAAGTGGACTTATTCAGAGTCTACGGAGCCCCTCGAAGGGTAACATATCCGGACTTAAAATGATCTAGTTGCTACTAACTATAAGAAATGAACGATTGTAGTACTCAACTAGAATACACTGTCATGAAAGTAAGGATGTGTAGTACTCATATACTCGAAACTCATTGTGAGTACGACAGACGAGTACTCAAAAGTCCGGAGTACTCATGAGTACTCGCGACATTTTCCAGCGTGAGTACTTTTTGAGTACTTTCACTAGGGTAATCAAATATTGATTATGAGAAAATTTTTCTTTTAATTATCCAATGATGAATATACTTTTTTTAATAATATTTTAGTCTCTTACCTCCTCGTGTAAAATCAATAGATGGTCGTCGTCATGTTAATACTGTTCCAGTTCGTCTTTGTCGTGCTCAAAATGATGAACATAGAAAACATGAAGATGGTCATTTTGCTACGGCAACAATACGTTATATAAAAGATTTAGCTTCTGTATTTGGCAATGATTGTGTTTTTTATTTATCTCAAGATGATAAATGTAAAGTTCCATTAGGTTTACCTGCAGCTAAAATTCAAGCACCAATGTTAATGCATTTGGATTATCGTGTACATTTACCTGATCATGATTGGATAGTTGCACCTCGACATCAATTAACACCAAGTGTATATGCAGCATGTATTCTATCCGAAGATGGAGATTTAAGTTATTCAGGTCCAACATATATTGGAATACGTTCAGCTAAACATGAATTTTCAACAGCTGAATCTCATACATTAGATTTTGATCGTCTTATTTGTTTAAAAGAATTTGAAGAAGTAGCATGTGATGAAACTGGGCAAGTTAAACCAATTCTTATTATTACAGTTGATGGTGGTCCTGATGAAAATCCACGTTTTCCAAAAACACTTGTTTCAAATATTAGAAAATTTAAAAAATATAATTTAGATGGACTTTTTATTCTTACACATGCGTAAGTTTAATATTAATAAAAACAAAAAAAATTCGAATATTTTTGTTTTTTGTTTTTTAAGGCCTGGTCAATCAGCTTATAATATAGTTGAACGTCGTATGGCACCATTATCTCATGATTTAGCTGGTTTGATATTACCACATGATTATTTTGGTACACATTTAAATGAATCAGGTGTAACAATAAATCTTGAATTAGAAAAATTAAATTTTCGTAAAGCTGGACAAATCTTAGCTGAAAGATGGAATAAATCACTTATTGATGGATTTCCATGTGTTGCTGAATATATTAATCCACCAGCTACAACAGATAATGAACATCGACAAATCGATGTTAAAATTATTATGGATGAACTTTTACGAAAGTAAATTTTTCATCGTCTTTCTATTTAGTTCATTTTATTTTTGTTATTTTATTCTATTAAATAGAATTTGTGCTGAAGAAGAAGCAGAAGAAGGATATGAATTTCGTATTCGACAATCAGAAGAATATTATCAAGAAAATGCTCGTCCAGCAAGAGAAAAAACTGGAGAACAACCAAAATATGATATTGATGAATATTGGTGTGCTACACATGTTTTACAAACACAATATACATTACAAATAATTCGTTGTAATTCAATTGAATGTTGTGGACCATGGCGTTCAAATTATGCTGAAATATTTCCTCATCGATTTTTACCATCACCTGTACCATTTGAACGTACACCATATGGTGTTAGAATGGCAGAAAAAGATTATCAAAGAGGACAATTTTATGGATCATTATTTCAACGAATTCAATTTCATGGTGTTGTTATTCAACATACACAGGTTGAAACAAAGTTTGATCATTTAAAATCTAAAAAATAAATATTACTATTTGATTTAGTATTTAATATTGAGAATACAATCGACTAGATTGTTCAAGACAAGAAAGAGATGCTTCAAATTTATAGACACTACTAGAAAATTATCTTAAGTGCCACACTGATCAATTCGTTTAACGCCCCCCCTCCCCCACTCAAAAATCGATCTCAGCCCAGGTACGTTCAAATGGGCTGAAATTTGGAGCATATGTTGGGGCTGATGTGGTAAAATTTTCAGCTCGATACCACAACGTTTGACTGAGATATTCACCAAACAAGGGTCAAAAATAGGTCATTTTGGTACAAGGATTTCTCAGTTCGGATCCGTCCAACATATTTAAATTTTTTTTTTGTTAGAAACAGCATATCAGGATGCATGGCACCACAGAGTCCTTTTTTTAAGATTCTTACTTTTTTAGCGAAGAATGGAGATTACAAGTCCAATGACTTAAAAAACGCGCCAAAAATGGGTGTCCAGTCACATAAGTATCTGTATATATAATAAAAAACAAAGTTTAATTTAAAAAAAGGACTCTGTAGTGACCTGCATCTCGACGCGCTCTTTCAAACAAAAAAAAATTTAAATCTATTTACTGAGAAATCCTTGTACCAAGATCAAAAAATCATAAACCGAGAAAAAACGAATAACATTTTTCGTTTTTTTCAAGAAGAGGTCAGTGAAAATCATCGAAAATCTTGGCCAAAGAGAAACCAAAGTCGTTTCTCAAAGACCTGAAGACGGGCTATCTTCCCATCCGTTTATCTCAATTTCGAAAATTGACTTTTTTTGAGTGGGACGCGGGCCTTAATAAATAGCTAATAATAAAAAACATCCATTTATCACATCATATAACTCATACACTAACTGTTTATTTGAAAAAAATAAAAGATTTTTCTTTATAGACTGAAACATTACCATTTGATTACTGTTGTTCATCAGTTAAAAAAGAATTAAAAAAACGTACATGTAGAATATGTAATCAATATATTCCATCAGCATATCGTATGAAAAATCATTATAAAATTCATACACAACATTATGATGATTTTGATCATGATCAAGAGGATAGATTACCAGCATCACCAGAAACAACTGACATAGCAACAAATTCAATTGAAAGTCAACAAATAACAACAGCACCATTACAACTGCCTACACAACCTGTATTTAAAACAGAAATGCTAGAATGGCTTCGATCAGATTTCGATAATTTTGATTTGGATCCAGCACCAACACAGCTTGCAAGTGATCGTGTTACACGTTCAATGAAAAATTTACATGTTCAAGAAACTGAAGAAGAGCCTGATAATAAAGAGTGGGTGTACGTAGATTAAAAACATTTAACATTTTTGTTATCAATAATTATCTTTACTTTTCAATTGTTAGTTCGCGTTAAGCATTTTTGTATTCTTCTTTTTTTGATTTCGATTGTGATATTGTTTTTCCATTTTTTTGTTTGTTATATCTTTTTATTTACAAAGACTCTTGTGTGAAAAAATATTTAGATATACAATGAGAACTTTCCTTGACTTATGATAAACATGAATACCTTTTAGATATTGAAGATAAGAAGAAAATTTCATTTCAATTCATTTTTCATGTGAAAATAAAATTGCTCTTGGGGTGTGGGTGGATGTGGGTATGGGTGTGGGTGCGGGTCTACTCCTTAAAAACCCACACCCACACCCCACCCAACTTTTGATTATCTAATCAATATTTATGTTTCTATACATGATAAGAATGAATTTCAAAGTATTATTAATAAAGCTGATATTAGTTCTGTTCCTATAGAGTTCCTTTTATCAGTTAAAAACATTTTCAATTTTCAGAATGCTGATTTCACATAAGGTTTGCTACAAAGTAGAGAATATGAACACATGCCAGCTTCTTAAACTTTGTTGATTAAGTGAAAGAATATATAAACATCCACAACTAGTCGGAACTAACAAAAAATAAAGATCATTTTTGTAACATTGAAAGAATTATAATTGAACGAAAACATTCCCATGTCATCGAAATCGCACCAAAATCGATGATTTTATCGTGATATGTTAGCGATTAATTGTGAGATTATATCACGTTAAATCGTACAAATTGGCAATTTTTCTTGAATCCTCACAACAAAAACACAGAAAATAGAAAACCCATACGACGTTGATGAAATAGGTCGATCATATATAGACTACCTGTGTCAACAGTCAAATCAAAATCGTCGATTATATCGGGATATGTTAGCCTAGTTAATTGTGAGATTAAATCGCGGTAAATTGTAAAAAGTGCCGGTTTTTGCTAATTTTCATAGGAAAATTGCCATTTATGCTAAACGTCGACAATAGAATCACCAAATGCTAGGGATTAATCGGCGATAGTTTTAAAATTGCGGAGAATTGTCAAAATTCAGCCGATTTTGAGGACATGGGTTATTAACTATTGATAAGGATTTTTTTATAAACGTAAAAAATGATCTGTGCGATGAAAAATGTTGGTTAAAATTTAAATTTCGCAGTATTAAAAAAAACAGAAAAATTCTCAAAAAGCAGAAGTCACAGAAAAAAGATAGAAAAATCTCGAAAAAGCAGAATTTTTCTGCTAAAAGCAGAAGAGGTGGCAACTCTGGTCAGCAATTTATATTCAAGCAGTTACTGTCAAATGAATAATAACAGCGATATGTATGTTATTTTATGTTATCTACTTCGCAGATGCTCGAGTAGAAGAATCAGTTTGTCGACGAACACAACTAGAGATTGAGCGACTGAAGTAGGACAATTGGTTTTACTATCGAAGGCGCAAAATTCAGCACTGAGAAAATGTATGAGCACAAGAAAAACATAATGTGTCGTATGTGGCGTAATTTTGCAACATAATGTATACCGCATCTAAGTGCAACACGAAGTGCTCGCTGCAAAGAATTTTCCATAGTGGGATTGTGGCATATTATTCCGCGATACATTCCAAAGCAATGGTTCAAATCTATCCTGCTGCAGTACACTTTCCTTTTTTTTCGTAGAAGGAAATAATTATTTCTATGTCTATTTACTTATTTATGCTCTGAAGATTCTAGCTGGTCAAATCTCGAGATTTGTCATACTCCAAGTGGGTCCGATTTGTATTTGGCCACTTCAGGGTAGTTTTATCTCTATCATCAGTCGAGATCGGCATGCTCGTTCTCGACTATTAAATAGCCGAGGAATAAACTAGAAAGTGTAGTAGTAATCAAAATGCACAAGTTTGCGATGTTCAATTGGATTGTTTATAGGTAGTTACATATGCAAAACAAAATGGTGAATGTATTGCCAACTGACAGAACGAGACAAACTGATGTACGATGTATTCTGACTGCTATACATATTTTGCCACCGAACCTGCGGCACTATACTTTCTGATACAAAAATAGGACATATTTTTAGTGTGACCTTGCTCTATATCCCAGTAATCCAAAGAAAAAACATAATCGACCTAAAAGTCTTATAGACTGTCCGAATTAAAACAACCAGAAACAGCAACTTTTCTTGACGTTGAAGAACTTTTAATAAAATTTGATCTATTCAAAAAACTATTGACAAGAAATATCTGAACTATGATTTGGTGGCAAAGCAGAAAACTCTCGAGGAAAATTTGTTGGCGTTTAAAAAGAAATTTTTGAAGCTTTATGCAGCACTTTGCTGATAAGCGAAACAAAGCCTTAGTATGATTGAAACTTCTCGCTAAACGATGACTTTTTAGTTGAATATGGGACCAAGCGATTATATATATCAGAAAACGCATGCACCAGTTTGTGCCATTTTAAAAATTTTCAAAACAACTTCTAAAGACTCGAATGAATTAAACAGCTAACAGAAGTTCCAATATTCCTTTTTTCAAAATCGAATCCTGCTAAAAACAGCACATAGATTTTATAATCCCCAAACTCTAAAAACCAACATATCGCAAGTAAAAATGTCATAGTCTCAACGGCGAAAAATGTGCCGCAACCAGAATGTATCCTGAATAAATTTGTTTCATTCTATCGACTGACAATTCATTTACCATTCTGTTTTACACATGGAACGACGTATAAATAACTTGTCAAAACGTTGGAAACTTATGTATTTCTATTTCTATTATCTTTTCTCCATTACTTCTCAAGTATTTATTAGCTGAGAAAGAATATGCCAATCTCGATTAATGATCAAGCAAGAACTACGATGAGTTTGTCTGATGAAGATCAGAAAAATCGGTGGCCTGACAGATGTCGAGATCGGAACTGCTAAGATCTTCACAACATCAATCACTATTTGTTAACAATATCGCGACTTTCTTTCAAAAGGCAACAAAAATGAAGATGACGCTGCGAAATAGGCTCGAACTACATCTTCAGATTGTGTGCCAAAACAAGACACATGCGGCACATTCTTCTACATTCTAAATC